AAAGTTCAAATTTTCGAACTTAAGTGAGTTGCGTGAAACGCACGTTAAGCGCGCAAAAGGCTCAATTTGCACCATGTCATTCGCACGTATTACTCCGCAGGATGTTTATCCGTGCCTTTGTATTCACTTAACATGTAAATCACTCTCGCTCAATGCTTCTTCCGCGTCTGGTGTGAGCACAGCATTAAAGCTACAATAACCATATTATCACTTTGATACAAACAACACAATCTCAGTGCAATTTATAACTTTTTGATTTAGTGGCTAATTCGTATAAATTCCTATACGATCTCATTCATACAATTTAATATGATTTGCTCATCCCCTAAATTCGTATGAATTAGCCACTAAACTAATAAAAATTTAAATGAAATACGTATACAATAATATTTTTTAAGGTATTACATCAGGGGCAAAATCTTAGAAATGAGGGGTTTTGTGCTGATTTGGGTCTTTAATAAGAAATAAGTAAGTAGTAGGTGGCGACAAATACCTGTCTTTATAAGAGATTTAATTATGCCATCCATTCAAATGATATAAAACACAAACTCCCTAAAATGTGTAACTTTTTGATTTAGTGGCTCATTCATAGTGGCTGTATGAATTCATTCATTCATTCATTTTCTTGTCGGCTTTGTCCCTTTATTAATCCGGGGTCGCCACAGCGGAATGAACCGCCAACTTATCCAGCAAGTTTTTTTTTACGCAGGGGATGCCCTTCCAGCCGCAACCCATCTCTGGGAAACATCCACACGCACATTTACACACCCTTATACACTACGGACAATTTAGCCTACCCAATTCACCTGTAACGCATGTCTTTGGACTGTGGGGGAAACGGGAGCACCCGGAGGAAACCCACGCGAAGGCAGGGAGAACATGCAAACTCCACACAGAAACGCCAACTGAGCTGAGGTTCGAACCAGCGACCGTCTTGCTTTGAGCACTACCTACTGCGCCACTGCCTCGCCACTGTATGAATTCGTACAATCTAATTCATACAATTTAGTACTTTCCTCATCCCCCAATGACGGATGGGTTTAGGGGTGGGGTTTGGTGCCTAAAATTGTACATTTTCATATGACTGAACTCGTATGAATTCTTACGAATCAGCCACTAAACTGATATAACGTCAAACACTTACATTTCCTCATGAGATCAGGCTGAGATAAATATATAAATACATATTACTGCAAGTAACAAACTCCCTAAGCATACATTTTGTTGTAGGAAAACTGAAATTGCTTAATTTTCTTATAATATTTTAATAGTCTATTACAAAACACACATGTATAATATACTAACATAGTAATTCATTCATTTATATTTGTTATGCACCAATATGGACATTTTGGCATATACCAATAATTTATTATATTTTGGAAGTTTATAACTTGTATTTAGTCCAATAAATAAACATGATATTAGCCAATAAATTCAATTATACACATTTTTCTGAGCCCAATTACAAAAACACGCCCAAGAAATAAAGTGGACAACTGATTTCATCTTAAATTTAATCTTAGCCGACAGCTAGCTCTCTGTAGCTCTCACATGGTCACCCACTGAAGCTAAGCAGAGCTGTGCCCGATCAGTACCTGGATGGGAGAGGACACGGAAAAGCTAGGTTGCTGCCGAAAGTGGTGTTAGTGAGACCTAATGCCCCAGTATATTGATGGGGACTCTACACTACTCAGTGAGAGCCGTCTTTCGGACGAGACGTTAAACCGAGGTCCTGACTCTGTGGTCATTAAAAATCCCAGGATGTCCTTCAAAAAAAAGAGTGGGAGTTTAACCCCGGCATTCTGGCCTAATTTGTCCACTGGGTTCTGTCCATCCTGGCCTCCTAACCATCTGATTTACTGGTGGACTGGCCATCTGGCAGACCGGGCAGTTTCCCGCTGGGCCAACATACTTTTTGGGCCGGGCTGATCATCGTCTTAGATCTAATCGGCCCATAAAAGGCTTAGCAACCTATCGTTTTTTCTGCCTCATTAAACGATGCTGTGATCTGTGACTGTCTGTAAGTAAGATGCCTTATTTTCGGACAGACAGCATGGAACACTCTGCAGCCCATTGGTTCTTTTCTTTATTTACATTGGGCTGGCCCAATCACAAACTCCTAGTATTTTGGGCTCTGTGTGAGCATGCAACGGCTGTGTGTATTTGTCAAAATAGTCGAGAGTCAGAGAGAATAAACGGAAGGGAGGCGCAGAGAAATGGCAGGAAACACACTGCTGTTTCATTTAGTGGTTTTGAAAAGTTCTCCGTTCATTCTAGTACACTGCTAAAAACGCAAATCAAGTGACCACACACACTCTGCCAAGAGCTGCAGCCAGTTTTTCAGCTGGTGCTTTGAGCATAAACCCCATGTAGGAGTATAGTGCATGTTGCGGACAGTTCATCAAAGATCTACTGCTGGATCTCATCTCACTATTAGTGAGTTAGTTTCTAAACGTGATATTGAATTCATCTTGATGTCTCTATCTAATGACTCTTCTGTCTTTTAATTTACTTGTTCCCAGGTAACTCTGTTTTGGCAGAGTGCAAAGATAAGCTCATATATTTATTTATGTAACCATGTACACTGATTCTGCACATTGACTGATTGCTTGTCTTAATCGTATAAATATTACGTTATACTTTTATATTGGGCCATTATTGATTATTAAAACTGATATTCTGCAAAAGAGATGGGGTAAAGTTATTTTCAATGAAAATATAAGAAGGCAGTTATATTTAAGCCTTGTTTTGTTATAAATATGCAGAGTGAAGATGACGCTCATATGCAGCTACACGAGGCTGTTTGGTGTCTGTTAATCATAATATCAAAATAAAACTAATTTCCTTATATTATGCTTACATTGTTAAGATAGTGAAACAGCAAGCAGGATGAGGTAAATGAGGTTATAAAGTACACTGTTCCCTTTGAAGATTTACCCATGCATCAGCAGGCAGATTTTGTTATGTTTATTATTGAATATAGGCTGAGTGAATAGTGTATTGAATAAGCTAAATTGGCTGTAGTGTATGAGTGTGTGTGTAAATGAGTGTGTATGCATGGTTTCTGATACTGGGTTGTGGCTGGAAGGGCATCTGCTGCATAAACATGCTGGAATAGTTGGCAGTTCATTCCGCTGTGGCAACCCCTGATAAGGGACTAAGGCAAAAGAAAATAAATGAATGAATAGTGTATCTTTTTAGAACTGAACAAAACTTTTTATGGACAGTATACAGAAATTTATTGAGATTAATGTCTGTATTTATTTAATATATATGGCTTTTGTGTTTTTATAAAATAGGAGTTGATAAACATATTGGACATGCACAGATAAATATGCATTTTGATTGAATATAGTGGGCTGCTCTGGCCCAAAATGCCAGGGAAGATTTTATGCCCCAGTCCAGCCCTGGACTGACTTAATCACTCCACCAGTCAGCTGGTGTGCGGTCTGGCACAATAAAGCTGCCATCACGTCATCCAGGTGGATGCTCTACACTGGTGGTGGATGAGGAGATTCCAGCACAAAAACAAATGTGTAAAACACTTTGAGTGTCTAGAAAAGCACTATATAAATGTAAAAAAATATATATGTATATATTATTAATATTAAAACCTCAAATGTGAAAAACACTTTGAGTGTCTAGAAAAGCACTATATAAATGTAAAAAATATATATGTATATATTATTAATATTAAAACCTCAAATGTAAAAAAAGAGGACATGTTGTGTGTATATTCACAAATTTATATAAACATTTTAATTGTGATGTCCTATTTCCCACTGCAACATGTTTCTTGAAATAATCTGTAATTATATATATATATATATATATATATATATATATATATATATATATATATATATATATATATCCACACATACATTTGTGATGACGATTACTTTGAAAATACACTTTTATCAGCTGATACTAATATAACAATAACAATATATTGAACTATAAAAAAAATCTGTCATTTTACTTTTTTCCAGCAGCTGGGTTGCCGAAAAAAAGTAGAATAATAGCTATTAAATTACAGACATTTACCATAAAATAACAGACAGTAAATTTCAGAAATGTACTTAAATTAAAATGTCTTTTATTTTACGGTAGTGGGCGAGGCAGTGGCGCAGTAGGTAGTGCTGTCGCCTCACAGCAAGAAGGTCGCTGGTTCGAACCTCGGCTCAGTTGGTGTTTCTGTGTGGAGTTTGCATGTTCTCCCTACCTTGGGGCGGTTTCCTCTGGGTGCTCCAGTTTCCCCCACAGTCCAAAGACATGCGGTACAGGTGAATTGGGTAGGCTAAATTGTGGCTGGAAGGGCATCCGCTGCGTAGAAACTTGCTGGATAAGTTGGCGGTTCATTCCGCTGTGGCGACCCCGGATTAATAAAGGGACTAAGCCGACAAGAAAAGGATTGAATGAATGAATGATTTTACAGTAAATGTCTGTAATTTAAGAGCCGTTATTTTTCTTTTTTTTCCCCGCACCCCAGCTGCCGAAAAAAAATAAAATAAAATAAGAGTTAAATAATGTTTTTGTTTGTTTTTTACAGTGTGACTATTACTGATTTTTCCATTCATTACGTAGTTTAAAACATATATATTGAGGGGAATATCGCATAATATAGAAGCTGATCAATTTAAAGCATTAAAGAAAAAAGAATTTATCAACTGATACCAGTATGCACACCAATCCTTAATAATGTGCATGAATAATGTATATGTTTAGATCTGAACAGTGTCTTTAGGTGTGGTAACTGTGATATAAATGTTATAATCGACTCCAGTGCATTGAATTATGAGAAAATAATGCACACCCAAGGTTTGTGGCAGCATCACCTCCTCAGGAGTGCATTATTACGGCCCGTCATCAGTTATTCCATTGTTAGCTCTGGGCATTCGGACCCAGAAAGTGTGACATCATTAAGTGGATTGTTTTAAAAATATTCTTCATCGTTTCTCATCATCACTAATTGTTCTCAATTTGCTTTCCTCCAGCTGAACGCAGAGAGTGTGACGTCTCAGCTGTTGCTCTCCATCAGCCTGGTGTGTGTGGTTCTGCTCTTGGTTGTTTTTGGTGTGACCACAGCTCTGGTCATTGCACTGAACCGAAGGGCCACACGGGGCACTTACAGCCCCAGTCGGCAGGAGAAGGAAGGCTCAAGGGTGGAAATGTGGAACATTGTACAACCTCCACCAATGGAGAGACTCATCTGATGCTTTTTACAAGACGGCGGAGAAAAGAAAGTGCTTAATTATGTGGCAGCTATAAGAGTTGGACCATTTTTGATAGGACAATCTTCCACATAATGGATGTTTAATTTATAATAGTGTGTAATGATCGCCTGCCATTGGTGTAAAATACCTCTGAAAAGCTTTAGGATTCATTGATTGGTGAATTGTGAAGTGTTTTTTTAATAATAGACAGGTGCTTCAATGCAATGCTGCTCAACAATCACGGTTAAATAGAACAAATTTAAGAGTTCATGAGCAATGTGATTTCAGGGTGGATAATATTTTTCATCTGGATGCATCAAGGTGTATTTTTTATGTGTTCCTGCTGCCGGTAAGCTGTAAAATTGACATATGGAGGGGAAAAAACACTACACTTCTTTGTAGAGCACAGGTGTCAAACTCAGTTCCAAAAGGGCCGCAGCTCTGCACAGTTTAGTTCCAACCCTGATTAAACACACCTGATCAAACTAATTAAATCCTTCAGGATTGTTTGAAACCTACAGGTAAGTGTGTTGGAGCAGGGTTGGAACTAAACTGTGCAGGGCTTCGGCCCTCCAGGAATTGAGTTTGAAACCCCTGATTTAGAGCATAGGTCTCAAACCCGATTCCTGGAGGGCCACAGCTCTGCAGTTTTGCTCCAACTCTAATCAAACACAGCTGATCCAAATAATCAAGGCGTTCAAGACTACTAGAGACTATTAAGCTTAAGATGTGGTTAAGATGTGAGGTGGTTGGAGCTAAACTATGCAGGGCTGCAGCCCTCCAGGAATTGGATTTGAGATGATTGATGTAGAGTTTTTTAGGCATGTGCAATGCTTAAAGGGATAGTCCACCCAATAAATGTATTACCGTGTGCTCCACTTGTTCCAAACCTGTTTCAGTTTCTTTGTACTGTTGAACACAGATGAAAATGCACAGTCCTGAAAAATGTTGGGAGAAAAACAGGCATTAATTTCCATTATATCATTTATTTATATTATAGATGTCAATCACCAATGCTATCCCACGGAAATTCGTAACTTTTTTGATTTTAGTGGCTAATTAATATGAATTTGTACAATCTCATATGAACAATTTAGAATGATATGCTCCTCCCCCGGTGATGGTTGGGTTAGAGGTGGGGTAGGGAGCCACGCCACCTTTTTAAAATAGTACAATTTTCATATCACTGAATTCGTACGAATTAGCCACTAAACTAACAAAACGTAAATGACTTGTTTTCTCGTGAGATCAGGCTGCAATGACTCCCCCCCCACCCACCCCCCCACCCCCCCCCAGCATTCTTTAGAATTTTGTTTAGAGTTCAACAGAAGAAAGAAATATAAAAGTTTAAAGCCACTTGAGTGTGAGTAAATGGACAGGAAATGTATATTTTTGGGTGAACTATCCCTTTAACAATTTAAAAGCTGTTTTAGTCATACATACAGCTGAAACCAGAGGTTTACATACACTCTAATAAAAGTAACAACCATTTAAAAAAAAAATGTCTGATGGTAAATCATACTAAACATTTACTATGTTAGGTCTGTTAAGGTTTACCAAATGATTTACATTTGCTAAATGCCAGAATTATGAGAGAATTTTTTATTTTATTTTTATTTTTATTTTCTACACAGTCAAAAGTTTACATACAATTCCTTGTTTTTTTTTTTTTGTTTCTTTTTTTTAACTTCGCTTTTAAACTGTATAACTTTGGTCAAATGTTTTGGGTATCCTTCCACAAGCTACTCACAATAGTTTGAAGGTATTTTGACCCATTCCCTCTGACAGAACTGGTGTAACTGAGTCAGATTTGTTGGCTGTGTTGCTCGCACAAGCTTTTTCAACTCTGCCCACAAATTTTCTATAGATTTGAGGTCAGGGCTTTGTGATAGCCACTCCAAAACATTCACTCTGTTGTCCATAAAGCACATTTTAACTAAATTGGCAGTATGCTTAAGGTCATGGTCTGTTTGGAAGACCCATTTGTGGCCAAGTTTTAATTTCCTGGCTGATGTCTTGAGATGTTGCTGCAGTATTTCTACATAATGTTCTCTTTCATGATGCCATCTCTGCTGTGAAGTGGACCAGTGCCTCTTACAGCCCCACAATATGATGCTGCCGCCCCCCATACTTCACAGTTGGGATGGTGTTCCTAGGCTTGCAAGCTTTCCCCTTTGTCCTCCAAATGTAACACTGGTCATGATGGCCAAACAGTTCAATCTTAGTGGCATCAGACCACAAGACATGTCTCCAAAAATGATTCTTTTTCCCAATGTAAATTAACAATTTGTAATCTGGCTTTATTGTTGATTCTGGTTAGTTGATTTTCCCATGTTGTCACAGAAGGAAGCAGTGTGTTTGAGGCTTTCCTTAATTACTATTTGACAGTTGTGCCTCCAATTAACTCGAATGTTGTCAATTAGCCAATCAGAAACATCCAAAACCTTGACACCATCATCTGAGCTTTTTTAGGGGCATAATAATCTTATTGTATGTAAACTTGACTTTCATGAAAAGTTATTACAATTTCACAAAAAAATATCTCCCCCATTATTCTGCTATTAAGCGTAACAGAAACACATTTGATAATCCTAACTCACCTAAAAGAGAAAAAATTTAGTCACATTAGCATCTGACTTTTTTTTAAATAGTTATGTGCCTTTTTATACAGTTTATGTAAACTTCTGGTTTCAACTGTACGTGCCATGAACATTTTCTTGTGTACATAAGTGTTCTTTCCTCCACTTAAAAAAAACAAAATTTTTCTCAGTAAATAAAAACTTGAATTTGTCAGGTTAATGTTAAGAAAATGATGGCTAAGGAATACTGTTTCCACATCTGAATATAAATAAAAGCAGAATTTTTTTAAATCTCATATTTCATGTCTACTCCACCCACTCATCCTAAACCCAGCCCACCAGGGGAATAAGTCCCTCCCACTTGGAGGTCACCCAACCTACTTGCAATGTAATAACTCCGACTTGGAGGTCTCCTAGCTGCAGCGATACCTACTTAGGTCTTTCAGTCTTCTAATGAGCTGATGATCTGAAACAGGTGTGATTGTTTAAAGAGACATGGGAAATGTAGTCCTACAGTAACGTGGTTATTAAACACTGCTTTGAATCGTGAGAAAGAGCAGTCAGATAAAAAGTTAAAGTTACCTTATATTTGTCTTATCCTGTGGCAGAAACAGACTTCCATATATAGCACAGAAACACAAACACTGATGCTGTACAATTTGCTGCGCTTGTTCCGTAAACAAAAACAAAACGTGTAAATAACTAATTTGTGTTGAAAAAATACTGTGTTAATTCACACGCACCTTGTTGAGGTCAAATAAAGATGGAAGCAACCCTTGTAAGGACATATATATAATTTATTTGAGTTCACAGTGCATACAGTGGTACCAGTAGTTCCTGTAATAACACACCAGACTGACCTAATTTGCACTTGAAAACAAAATAACTGCACTGAGAGCATGCGGTGGAGTTCAACCATCCAGCTTCACTCACTCCAAAGCACTTCAACCACCACAAACTAAACTGTACCGAAGAACATTCAAGAAAAATCAAGCACGAATGGTGAGTAAAAGATTATATGTGTAACGAAAACATTGTGTTGAACATTCAAAAGCGCAGTTTGGAGAGTCCAGTGATTCAGCTACAGCAGCTCTATAGTCAACTTACGAAAAAGAAACAGATCAAAAAACGAAGAGCGTCGCAATACTATAAAGTAAAAAAGTGAATGGCCAAGTGTGCACATGCATCTTTAAAAGGATTCCCAGCAGCACAAAAAAAATACTAACTACACAACAGAAACGCACGTCAATAACGAGCCTATGTAAACAGCAAAGATTGAACAAAAAATAAATTTGGGTAGCATTTTCTTTCCTCAATTTATATGGTTACCGTCTAGTTTCAAGTAGTGTTTGGATTTAAAAAAAAGTAACTGGTGAAAGAGTGAACTTGCAAAAATAATGACATTTTGAAGTACACCTTTTCAAAAACACTTGGTAGTTTCTACGGCAACGTTAACTATGACCAGATCCCAAAATAATGCTACAATTATATTAAATCAAATAAAGTTTACTTTCCTAATTAGCAACAAAAAATCAGAAAGAAAATGGGTTAAAAATCTTCGCAAGGCAAAATTCTAGCTAATCAGAATTTTCAGTCGTTACATTATTAAGACATGAAGTCATTCAAAACACACTTAAGACATGATTGACAACAATGATGCAAACCGTACATGTTTTCCAAATACACAGTATTAAAATGAACAACTACAATAAACATACAGTGAAAATGTACAACTTGATAGCATGTGGTCTTTCTGAGATCCTGCTTGAGTGGTTTTGTACCGAGTAATGGTTTTATTATTATCCACAAACCTATAAACAAGGGGTGCCCAAACTCTGTCCTGAAGGGCCTATTTCCTGACGATTTTAGCTCTAACTTGTCTCAACACACCTGCATGGATGTTTCCAGAAAGCCTAGTAAGTGCCTAATTAGCTAGCCCAGGTGTGTCTGATTGGGGTTGGACGTAAACTTTGCAGGACACCGGTTCTCCAGGACCGAGTTTAAACACCCCTGCTACAGACAGATTAGTATAGGTAAAGTTTTCTGACATTCAGTATTTCCGGGTGGTTTTAAAACAAGTACCTATATCTATATATACACACTAAGGAAGCCTATGTTTGGTTAAAACTAATTTGTTTTTGTGTGATTGCTCTGTGAGTGTGGTTTAGTTGAATAAATTTAAACACTGCCATCCGAACAAAGCAACTGTACCAAGCGCACTGAGAAGCTGGGTCTCAGTTAACTTCCAGAAACTGAATTAAAACGAATCCAACATGGACCAAAAATATCTAAATGGACCAAAAACAGGACATTGTGTCTCTAAATGTGATCATAAAAGAATAGATAGCTTTTTTTTTTTCTCCTCGTCACAACATTGGCCAATACAGTTCAATAAAGGTGTAATCTTCATTAAAGCGCGTGACAGAGAAATTCCAGGTTTTGTTTTGACTTATTAGATCTTCATGAGTTTTATCCCAGATGATTAAA